AGCTCAATTCATAACCAGTATGCTTCCAGAGTTCCTCAAAGGCCGTATAAGGCCCATGAAATCCTTTGGACTGGCCCTGCCAAGGCAACCGCAGTTCCAGCCATCACATTAGGGTGAGTTAATTAAACATTTGACCAAATATAACAGGCTAATTTTTAAGTTGATAATTCTATATGGTCCACAAATGATGCTACAAATTTTGGCAGAATAAAGGGTCCCCACCCCTGCTGTGGGTTACTGTGCCAGACTGCAAAGCTGTTTGAACTGCAAGGTCAGTGGTTCAAGCTCACCAGCTGCAACTTGGAAACCCTATACAGGGCTGCTGTGGGTGGGAACCGACTCGACGGCACTTAACAACAACCCCTGTTGTAGAGGAACAGAACACTAAAAATTTAGAGCCAACTGTCTAGTCTTCATAGTCTGCTGTAAGTCAGTGTTGTTGCTGTTTAGGGCCATGAAGTTGGTCCCGACTCATAGTGACCCGTATAGGGCTTCCAAGGAGTGGCTGGTGTGTTTGAACGACAGACTTGGCAGTTCTAACCGACCTTGCAGTCCAGTGCTTATCCTACAGCACCCAAAATATTTGTCAACTTGGTTAGGCCACAATTCTCAGTATTATATAAGTATCCTCCATTTTGGGATTTGATATAATTTATTCTATGTGTTTGAACTAGACATTCACATTTCTCTACATTTTTCCAAAGGAGATAATTTCAGAGTCAAATGTTTTAGCTACTTAGGATATTTACTCTAACATTGTTAATAATACAAAATAAATAACCCTAGAAGTTTCCGTGTACAAAAAATGGTTACATATCTATGCACTAGCATGCAGTATGTGGTCTTTCAATTGGACTCAACACACATGAAACTGCCCAAGGCACATCCTTTCCTTTTAGCCATCTGGCCTCACTAGCCCCTAGCAGGGAAAGCAGCTTAATTTCAGGGGTCAAATTGCATGTCTCCAAGAGATGTTTGTTCTCAAGACTCTTGTCAGTTGTGTATCAGTATTACATAAACTGATAATGAATATTTTTAAGAGAACTCTAGATAACTTAAAAAAAAATATTTTGTGACTTTTAAAAATGTATTGTTAAGTGAAAATTGACATAGAAAATTAGGTTCCCCTTTGAACACTTTTTATACCAATTGTTCCATGCCATTGGCTCCAATTTTGACAATGTGTCAGCATTCTCATTATTTCCATTCGGTTTGTTGTTCCCATCGATCTAGCTCCGCTTCTCCTCCTTGCCTTTGGGTAAATATTGACTACTCGGTATCATATACTTGTTTAAGGGAACACATCACTCATGGATGATGTTTGTTTTATAAGCCAATGTATTATTAGGCTGAAAGGTAACTGCAGAAGTAGCTTCACTTCCAAGTTAAAGTAATAGACTCAAGGGTTCCTCTAGTTTCTATCAATCCAGTACACCTGAACTTTTTTCGAAATTTGAGTTTTGGTCTACATTTTTCTTTCCCATTCTATTCAGGACCTATTCTATTCAGGACACCTATGTCTATTGTGTCATCAGAATGGTTGGTAGTGGTTGTCAGGCACCATCCATTTCTTCAGGTCTCTGGTTTGAAGAGGTTGTGGTTTGTGTGGGCTGTTGGTTCCATGAACTACTTTCTCTCGAGCCTTGGATTTTCTTCATTCTTTTTGTTCCACTCGAGTGGAGACCAACTGTTCCATCTTAGCAAGTCACCTGTGCTTGCAAGTTTTAAGACTACAGATACCAAACTCAGATGTAGAACATTACCTTTATAAACTATGTTTTGCCAACTAAGTAGTCCCCTGAGGCTATGGCTACAAGTCTTTTGGCCCAGTAAACCAATCCCGTAGGTTATGTGGATATGTGTAAGACGTTTCCATCACTTTGCCTCAATGTGGTTTGTTATATGAAGGGGCATCCAAAAGTTCATGGAAAAATGGAATGAAAAGATAACGGAATTTTTCCACAAACTTTTGGAAGCCCCCTTCATGTGTGAATATATATGCAGCACATACAAACATGCACATGCATTTACACTTTATGTGCTGTGAGAACTCGGTTCTGTGTTAACTTGATTGAACCAGGATTCCCAGTTGATTGGCAGTTGATCATTAATGCTATGATTATTGGCTATAAGCAGGCAGAGTTAACTCTATGATGATTGCTTATGAGGAGCCAATCAATTGCAAGGCTGTTTCCTTGGAGGTGTGAGCTGCTCCCAATCTTTCCAGCTGGGTCTGGATCTCACATCTTGGTCATCCTTCAACCTCTAGTTCTTTGAATCTGAGCCAGTACTTGCTCTATTGTGCGTTTGCCTGCTAGGCCTACTTGCCAAATGGACCTGGAAAACCAGATGCCTGTTTCTGTCATTCTGGCTGGTGTATACACTGAGCCGCTGGTTCTGCAGTGTGCCTGCCCAGACTTTGGTTGACTGTCACCCTGCTGCCACCCCTGCTCTAACACCAAGGTCCTGCTTTGTGCCCCACTTTGGGATTCCAGCCTTCTAGAGTCACCTGCTGATCTTGGTTCGCCTGGCCTGCACTTGGGACTCTCTCTCTACATTGTGAGCCATTTCCTTGATATAAACTTCTCTGTAAAACCAATAGCACTGGTTTTGTTTCTATAGAGAAACCAGCCTAAGACATATGGCTTCCTATATATTCATATAAGGAGTCCTGGTGTGGTGCTGCAGGATACTGCACTAGACTGCAAGGTCAGTTTGAACTACAAGGTTGGCAGTTCAAACCCAATGCTCATTAGACACCCTACACAGAGTTGCTATGAGTCAAAACTGACTTAACAGCATTTAACAACAAACAATACTCATATATGCATCCATATATACCAACGTAATCACACATTTTTGTTTTTACTGTTGTTGCAAAATTGTGTCTGTCACAGCATTTACAGAATTTGTTCTTTTTTCTCATGTACTTGATGTCTTTATTACCTTAGTCAACTTATGCCGCCATCACCCATATTGGAGACTGCCTTCCCATTACTAAAGGTAGTAAGTGTCTACTATATAGAAAGTGGTTACTCCTCCTTCTCCCTCCCAGCCCTGGTAACTATCAAAGAACTTGGCTTTGGCTTTTTATAACAGTGGGATTGAAAAACAGTATTGGTCTTCTTGTGACTCACTTCTTTAACTCAGCATAATGTCCTCCAGAATCATTTGGTACGTTCTGCAGATTCCTCATTCGTCTTTACAGCTGGCCAGTATCATTGTATGTATGTATCACACTGAATCCACTCATCTGTGATGGGCACTTGTTTTCATCTTTTTACTCTTGTGACTAATGCTGTAATGCTAAGCACAGGTGTGCATATCCAGTTTATCCTGCACCCATACTGCCTGATTTTGGATCCTAGCAATGCCAGTGTCTAACTGTGGGACCTTGAGGCAGTCACTGAACCACGCTATGCTTCAGTTTCCTGAGTGACCTCACCTTTTTGAGGGAGTGACAGAACCTACCTTACTTATAACACTGTTGGAAGACATAAATGACCTGTAAGGGGCTTAGAACAGTGCCCAGGCACATTGTATGTATAATGTAAATCATAAGCAACTATTTCTTCTGGTTTTGTTTTTTAATCAGATATATCCTGCCCAGCCCCTAGCAGAGGTGAATGAAAAACTTAACAAATCGTCTTTTGTTTCGTTGTCTAGATCATACCTAAATACTTCCTAGAAGTGTGACTTTAGATCTAAAGTTTTCCACAAATCTTTAGAAATGCAGTAACTTTTCTTGAATCCCTGTACCCCAATTTTTACCCTACTCTCTGTTAACAACAATAGCTGGGAAATAGGCAAAATACAAAAGCATTGTGTAAAGTTGTTAGGATTTTAGAAGACATAGGGGAATTAAATAACATTTAAAGAATGCCAAAACTTTAGCAGTAAACCTCCTATACTGAGAGCTGTGATCTACTTCTAAGAAAAGAATGTGTCTAGTCTCAGGGGACACCATGGTCAACTGGCATATCACAGTCCACAAAGACTATGTTTTGCATCCTACTTTGGTGAGTTGTGTCTGGGATAGTAAAAGCTCATGAATGGCCATCTAGGGTGCAGCTATTGGTCTTTCCATGTGCAGAAGAAAGAAATGTGATGAGAATTGAAGATGCTCAGAATCAATTAATCCAACAAACTAATGGAACACTTGAACCTCAGTCTCCACGACCCTGAGACCAGAAGAACTAGATGGTGCCCAGCTACCACTACCAACTGCTCTGAAAGGGATCACATTAGACGGTCCTAGATAGAGTGGCAGAATATATAAAACAAAACTCAAAATTATTTAAAAAAAAAAGAATGAAAGACAGAAAAAGACTGGGCTTACTGGTTAGAAAGAGACTAGAAGAACCTGAGACTACGGGCCTCGACCACCCTTCAGGTCTGGAAAGGAGCTCACCCTCGTGGCCCAACTTTCAGCCAAGCAGTAGATAGGTATATAGGGGGAACAATACTAGTAAGGTATGCTCACTATGAATGATGGAACCATCAATCATTCAAAATCAAAAGTGCAACATATCCGTAAGGACCAAGTTGAGAAGGGATGGGCAGGTTAGTGGAATGGAACTCGGAAGCACAGGGAGGAAGCAGGAGAAGTGTTGTTCCACAGAGGGCACTGCAATCACTGACATGAAACAAAATGTATTAGCTGTTGAATGTACAGCTGATGACTTCGTCTGTAAAGCTTTACTCAAGTCAACAGTAGAGTTTAAAAAAAGAAAAGAATGTGTCACACTGTACCCTAACTTCTTTAGCAGATGGAAGCCAACTTGATAGGTTCACAACAAAATTGTTTTGAAAGATTTATTGTTGAATACCTCTTTCCTCTTTTCTGCTCCACCCAGTTACTCCCCTCATGCTTCTTTTCTGATCATTCTAAAAACTGAGTACATTCTTTTTCTCTACAGAACAGGAAAAAAAATAGTGAAACCAGAACACTTGATCAGGCCTTCATTAACCCCTTCAGTACTGTGGGTAGCTGGTTGTTCTTAGGGTTCCACAAGGTAGTCCTTTCTCGCAAAGTACCCTGGGGTGCTCATGGAGTTGAAATGCCGCTGCCCATCTAAATACAACATGGACTCTGAAACATAAATAAGACAGATAACCCTGGAGAAACATGCAGCACCTTAGAAAGTCATCAGACCAACCCAGGACTACTTGGGGACACTGGGGCAGCAATGAGAATGCAAAACCAGAGATAGGGATGTACTGTGGGCCCAAGGAGCTTGCACCATACCAAAAGGAGCAGGCCATAATAATTCCCACCCCTTTTCCTTGAGCCCATCTTGAGACTACCAATGACTGCCTGCAGCTGGCACCAGCCCTTCAGATAAGAGCCAGTCGGGCAAAGCGGCAATAGCCGCCTGTGGACTCTGACATATTTTTGGCTTTCAGGGCAGTGAAAACTCAAAAACAAAATCCCTTAAAGATATGCTTTTGTGCTCACATGCATTTATATACTTTGCGACAAGTTAGAAAGAGAATAAATTCTTAAGTTCTTTCATTTGTTGGGCACAAGCAATCATTGCTACTTACCTCCATATGTTTTAGGGAAAACCAAAGGCACCTCTTTTTCCGACATGAATGTGAAATGAAAGACGTTGGTGGTTGTATGCTCTTTACTCTGAAGAGAGGTCACTTCACTGTGTACTCTAACTTGAATATACTTGTCCTCAGTAAAGCAAACCTAAGAATTTACAGACACCACTGTCAATCACATGAAGGAAGGGGGGAAAGGCCACCATGAGAGAAACAATGACTTTAGGATAGAACAATTTCTCCTCGAGGCTCAAATGACAACAAAAAAAATCACGTCTCATCAAATACCTACCTGTGAAGAAAGAAACAGCAATGATCCAACCTCAACAGGTTTCTGAAACATGATATCATCCACTGCTACCACAAATGGGCGGGAACCACTATTGGGGAAAGGCAGAACTTGGAGTAAAGGAGTACTTGGTTGCCCATTGCAAAATTCAGGTGAACTCTATTTCTTTTCCTTAACAATGAGCTTGTATAAAATATATATGAACAAAGAATAAACTTAGAGAAAAGGAAAATTATGATAGCACACCAAGAGATGCCACTGTTACCAGACTAGTGCCCAAATCATTACAGTTGACTCTTGAACAAGACAGGGGTTAGAGGCGCCCACCTCCATCCAGCACAGTGGAAAATCCACACATAATTTACACTTGACCCTTGAACAGGTTGGGTATGAACTGTGTGGGCCCAGTTAGATGTGCATTTTTTTCCTGCTGTAATTGCAGTGAGATCAAGTGTTGCTGGAAACGCTGGGTGATGCTACTAGTGATCTCCGCATGAGCAATCCGTCTCTCCAGTTAGGGGGGATGGAATGGTGAGGGGCTAGCAGTTACTGGAGTGAAGAACTGCTCATGTGGATTGGATTAGCATCTCACAGTATTTTAAGTGGGCTCACACAGTTCAAACATGTGTTGTTCAAGGCTCAATTGTGTATCTTTTTCCTTCTGAATACTATCACCTCCTTTTCTCATTAAAGGAGCCCTGGTGGCACAATAGGATAAGCAACTGGCTGCTAATCACAAAGCTGGCAGTTCAAACCCACCAGTGACTCCCCGGGAGAAGGATGAGGCTTTCTGTTTCCGTAAAGATTTACAGCCCCAGAAACAATAAACAAGGTCAAAGTCAATTCGAATAGCAGTGGGTTTAGGGTTTCACATTAGATCGTCAATGTACTAAACAAGGTCAGAGTAACTGCTATCTAAAATAAAGATTAAATCCAGCTGGTATCAGGATGGGATTTATTCTTTAAAAATACAACCTATTCCCAAGCACATCCAGACTGGTCAAAAATGTTTTATTTCAGTGAGTTGGTGTAAATTATCTCCCAGAAGTTATACTGCCTTAATTCTAACTTACCCAAAGCTACAAGCAGTAGCCCATCCAAGTTCATATGCTTTCCTCATAAGAAAACCGCCAAAGATCCGATTGAAAATGTTCCGTTCCTATAGTACATAAAATAAATACTAATAAATACAAACTTGTGGACACCTTCATATACAAAATAAAAGAATTCATGCCATAGAACGGAGGTCACTTTAAAGGGGTACCAAATCTTAGATGAGTATCACAAAATTCAAGTGCTTTCTATTTTATAATAAGTAAGCTACTTAGGAGATTTTTTGTTAAATTACACTACCTGAGGATGGCAGATTTGTAAGCTCTTCAGTTTTGAATCCTCCATCCACACTGCATTAGGTGGCAAAACTCGACTTCGAAAACTTATAGTCCTGTACAAATAGAGCTTTATTAAACCCTGTTAATGTCATGCTTTTGCGACTGAAAAGTAAAACATTTGAAAACAAATCCCAATACATTCAAGCTTGTCTCTGGAGCAGGCCAGTGTCTCATGCTTTCCCACTTAAGTTGCCATGCTAACTTACTTCGAATCCAGTGTGGTAAGAAACATCTCATGTATGGTGGTCCTCTCCTCAGCACTAGGAGCCACTTTCAGTAATGACGTGGAGCTGAAGGCAATCCTTCTCCCCTTGTTCACTGAAACGGGGGCAAACAACTAGCTGTGCTCAGGGGATCCTGACCTGGGGTCTTTTGGATTCCAACAAAGGAATAAAACAATAAAAAAAACACTAAAAATTGTGCAAGAGAAGGCTGCATGGGTTACAGAGAACTTCCGGTGATGATTTGCTTTTAGACAGAAATTCCATCAGTGTGGGCCTACTTCTTACCATTCTGACTTAGAGTCCTGACTGGCAGTTAGTGCATTAAAAATGCTTTTTTTCTGTTTCACTGAAAATGAGGGGGAAAATTACCTCACTTAGTATTGTTTGATCAACACTTTCTCAAAACATAGACCCTGTGGCGCCTCGGTGGTATAGTGGGTTACACATTGGGCTGCTTCCCAAGAGAAAGATAAGGCTTTCTGCCCTTGTAAAAATTTACTGCCTCCGAAACCCTGTACAAGGTTGCTGTGAGTTGTAACCCACTCAACAGCCACACAACAACAGAGCAAAAAGGAGTCCTGGTGGGACAGTTAGTAAACACTTGACTGCTAACCTAAAGTTGGACAGTTCAAACCCACCAGCTGCTCTATGGGAGAAAGCAGTGGCAGTCTGCTTCCATAAAGACGACAGCCGTAGAAACCTTAGGGGGCTGTTCCACTCTGTCCTATATGATCACTGAGAGTCACACCTGACTCGATGGCAACAGGGTTGGTTTATAAAGCAAAATGCTGCTTTTAACTTCAATCAATTATGGGCATAAACAAGACTTCTGACTAGTATAAAGAGTCTACATTTTATCTTAAATAATATTCTTTTCAGTATAACTAATGTGCTCTAAATTCTTATCATATTATAATCAAATCAACATACATTCTCCTTGTTCAAAGAGTTGTTGTTCTTCTTGGCTTTCAATGAGGAGTGGATTTACAAATGCTGGCCTAAAGAGAAGCAAAGAAAATATCCTTTAGGTGTAGCTAGTGACCTTCACAAACAAGTGCCTCCTTTGCTTTGAGTCCTAGGGAATGGGATGGTGCTCTATTACCACTACTGAACAGTTTACTCAAAGATTCTATAGAAGACTCTTGGTCAAAAAGGGGGAAATAAACAACAGAATTTCTAGAGCCATGAAGGCTGGATGAAGCCCTGAAATTATTGCCTGAGATAACCTACCTTAAACCCTAATCCAAAAATGTCCCCTGAAGTCATCTTAAAACTAAACAATAGCTTAGTTTAACTAGTAAAAAATGCCTGCCTTGAATACTGTGCTCTTTTAAGATGTATCTATATGGGGTCAAACTGACTAGAGCAACTCAAAAGATTAGATGAGAAACTTAAGAGAGCAGTGAGTGTCTGTTACTAAGGGAGGAACAACTTGGAAAAGTTCTTCCCACAGGAGAAAGATGAGGTTGTCGGCTTCTGTAAAGATTCACAGCCTCAGAAACCGATGGAAGTTTTCTAGTCTGCCCTATGAGTCGAAATCAACTTGATGACAGTGGGTGTTTTGGTTTTTATAGGTGGTATGGTATAGTCCCTTCTAGCCATATTCTTTGTAAACTTCCACAAAATGACTTTGTCCTGATGAGTCTGGGTAAGAGAAGGTGAAGGAGGATGTTGATGGATTGTATGCTTCAATTATGAGTGACTGTTAGCAGGGTTCATTGTGAAAACCTGAAACTCTAGTGTGTATAAAATGAGCTGCCTCAGAAGCAGGAAGGGGTCATCTTACCACCATCAAAGAGGAGGAGGCAGGCGTGCTCTTTAAACCCCGAGCTCCCCATGCAATGAACTGCTTCAAACTGGACAGAAAGCTGTGAGACCAGGCAGGACAGAGGCAGCAGAGGAGCAGCGACAGCAACAGAATCAAGAGCCACAGCAGCAGACAAAGCATTAAGTAACGCTTGAGTGACTTTGGGCCTGAGGCTTGCTTGCAGAGAGCGCTACCTCCAGACGTTTAATTGTGGGGGTTAGGATTGTTGAGGAAAGGAGCTAGAGCCGAGAGCCTTCAGGCTGAGGCTTATGGTTGAATGGTGTATCCTGTGGGCATTTACTGGCAGCCCTAAAAGAGCTGTGTGACACTGGCTGGGCAGAGAGAGACCTGCTTGTGGGCATGGCTAAGGAAAGGCTTCCCTGGCTGGAAGAACTGTGCCTTGAACACTTCTGTCCCTGAATTGTAACCTGTTAACGTCCCTAAATAAACCTGATAAGTATTGTCTGAGTTCTGTGTGGTCATTGCAGTGAATTACTGAACCCAGCACAAGTAGAGGGTGCTGTGGGAGAGATGGTGGGTTCATTTTCTTTCTTTCTTTTTTTTTTTTTAAACAGGTAGATAAAAGGAATGGGGTACAAAAGATAATGGAAGCAAGACTTCTCTAAGTACACCCTGCTACATAGTTTTGACTTTTGAATTGTATAAATGTTGAACATTTTCAAAACTTTAAATTTTAAAGTATTTTCTGAAAACAGAGCAAATGACCTTAATTCTCTACCAAGTTGATAAAGTCACACAGAGAAAAAATATTTTGAGTGTCTTTTGACTATATATCCTCAATGGGATGCATTCTAAAGACCCAAAAAAAATTGAAATCACTTTTCATTAAACAGACTGATTGTTAGTATTATTGAGACCATTTTATAAATATTGTAGGATAAAGCAAAAAGTAACTGTTACTGTTATTAGAAACCAAGAATTACATGTAAGAGGAAAAAGAGAAGTCAAATAAGTTAGTCTATATGGTTATATTTACCTTGGAAATCGCATTACACACTTTCGAGATTTTTGGGGGTTTTGGTTTTTTGCTTTTTTTGTTGTTATTAAATTTTTTTTAAAACATATATCTTAACTCTCTACTGAAAAAGCCTAGAAACAGACACTCCAGTAACAATGTATAGTCCTAACGTCAAAGTTTGGTTTCTAAATATCAGTTCCTACTAAAAGAAATCAGGAATCTTTGGAGAAATGGCTAATTACAGAGCCAGGGTAGGAAATGCTATGACATTTTTTATTCAGAGAACAAGGAAACCATCAAAGACTAACGGAGATACACGTTAAAAGGACACAGGAACCAGTTTAAAGAAATATATTCTGAGCATCCAGAACTGTACTTTATGAAATACTTATGAATTTGCAGTACTTAAAAAAAAAGCCCTCCCCCACAAAAAAAAGGAAAACCGTATCACTAGCTAGTAAAATAACTCCTTATCCTAAAAATGTGTAAAGGGTAAGAATGAAGCGCTGACCCTGACTCTCCTTTATAAATCAAATGCCCCAGTTGATAAAGGAAAGCTTTTTTGCAGCATTTCAGCTACTGAATGTAGAGGGAGAGCACCAGCCTTTCACACTCCCAAGTGAAAATCATTAAAACAATGATCAGCAATGGATGCTAAAAGCACTGGAGAAAGACTGAGAGGGATCTAGCTATGTAGAATAACAAAATGGTGTCCTGCTGATAATAACGGAACTTAAGAGACCAGGCTGCCACCACTAGAACCTACAGGAGACTTAGTATCACTGTAAGCGGTACAACCTGTGCCTCCAAATACAATGCAATGAGATACAAGGCATCTTCTCCGAAGTACCCATTCCAAATATGTTGAACCTGAGTCTAATCAAGGCTTTAGAGAAAACTTCAGTTTGCAATGTTGCAGCTAAATGCCATCGTCATTTACAACTCCTAGCAACCTTGTATACGGTTTCCAAGGCTGTAAATCTTTTTTAAACTTTTTATAGTGAATTGGGTGACTGTTTACTGACAAGATAATCAGTTCTACATTCAACAAATCATGTAACAGTTATCCAGCTTCCTCCCTGTAGTTCCTATTTGCATTCCACTCACCTTCTAACCCCTTCTCAACTTTGTTCTTAGGTAAATGTTGCCCTTTGATCTGAATGGTTGACCATTCCATGGTAAGCATACCTTACTAGTACTCGTGTCCTCCCTATGTATCTTTCTACTGCTTGGCTGAAAATGGGGCCATGCAAGTGAGTTCCTTTCCAGACCCCACAGGTGGTCAAGGGCCATAGTCTCAGGTTCCTCCAGTCTTTCTGAGCAGTAAGTCTGCTTTTTTTTTTTTTAAATTCTGGGTTTTCCACATTGCCTCCCACTCTAACTGGAACCTTATAATATGATCCCTTTCAGAACAGTTAGTAATGATAGCCAGGCACCATCTAGTTCTTCTGGTCTCTTGAGTTGTGAAGAGACTGATGTTCACACATTCCATAATTCATTGGACCAATTGATACCAAGCATTTTCAATTCTTACCACTCTTCTTTCTTCTGCACATGGAGCAACCAAAACTACACCTTACAGGCCACTTATGAACATTTAAGATCCCAGATATTACTCACCAAAGTAGGATGTAAAGCACTGTCTTTGTGAATTATGCCAATTGACCACGGTGTCCCCTGAGACATGGTCCTGAACCCCCAGGGCCAGCAACTCATTCATTGCCTTAAATTTTCATAATTTTGTCTGCTATTGTTAAGTACTGTGGAGTCGGTTCTGACTCATAGTGACTCTGCACAGGGTTTCCAAGGCTGTAAATCTTTACGGGAGCAGAAAGCCTCATCTTTCTCCCGCAGAACAGCTGGTAGTTTCGAACTGCTGACCTTGAGGTTAGCAGCCCAATTCGTAACCACTGCGCTACCAGAGCATATTTTTGTCTGCTATATGCTCCACTAAATTGAATGTTGCGTTCGAAGAAAAGATAAATACCCATGTACAACAAATATGAGGGGGACTTTAAAAACTTTGTAGAAATTTTTGATTCTTTAATTCCATTCCATGACCTTTTTGAAGGCCCCGGGTATATTAAAAGTCAATAAACTGTACACTTTAAATGGGCAAACTGTGATGGGTATATGGAAATTCATTATAGTCTTCCATCCAGTTTTATGTATCTTTAAAATTTTTCAAAATACAGAATTGGGGAGGAAAAAAAAGCAATTACCCTTTATTTTCAGAATCACGAGCCACCATTACAAATGTTGCATCCAAAACCGGACTATATTCAACGCCATGTAACTACAAAATAAAGAAAATACAGATGTAAGAAACACATTTATTGAGATAACCTACAATTCTAACATATAGCACGCATGCTTTCAGTACCTCTGAAATTAGAAAAAGTGAAGTGCATTTATTAGTCTGCTGAGTTGCCTACCCTGAGCCAGGCACGGTGCTAGGCTCTGGGAATGGCAAGAATCAAGGCGCTTTTGGTCTAGCAGAGTTGAAAGCTACATGATTGGACAAGCATGGGCTACAATCTTTGGAGCTCTACAAGACTGTGACCCAAGGGCCACATCAGGACTCCCAGAGATCCTATAAGACACAGAAATAAATACCCCTTAGGGTTTTCAAAACTATAATCTTTATGAAAGCAGCTCAACACATCTTTCTCCCAAAGAGCAGTTGGTAGGTTGGAAGTGCTTAACCACTGCATCACCAGGCTCCTTAAAGTAAGGGCAGAAGCTATTTATAAACTCGAGATATATTCGGTTTACTCATTACCAGGTAATACAAACCAACCCTCGTTGCTACTGCTGGTTCAGGTCTATCACCTTCCCCCTCAACTATGGCTATAGTGTCACCCCTACAACAATGCACCACAGCTTCACAAGCCTTATGATGCTTCCACCCTGTTCCAAACCCATCAGTGTCTGCTCCATTCTTCTAGCATCTGATCTGATCACATATATGTTGTTAAGTGCCGTCAAGTTGGCGTCAACTCATAGCAACCCTGTGCTTATCCTACAGTACCACGTATATACATATATACAAAATCCTGGTGTGGCACTATAGGATCAGCACTAGACTGTAAACCATAAGGTCAATAGTTCAAACCCACCAGTTGTTCCTTGGAAACCCTATACAGGGTTGCTATGAGTCGGACTTCACTCAATGTCACTTAACGTGTGTGTGTGTGTGTGTGTGTGTGTATAATGGTTAGGACTCTGTGTTAACTCGACTAGGCCAGGATTTCCCAAGGTTTAGCAGTTAGGATGTGCTTATTACCATGGTGATGAAACCAAATGAAGGCATAGTTAACTCTATGATGAGCAGCTATGAGCAGCCAATCAATTAAAGGGATGCTTCTACTTGGGGATGTGGTCTTCTCCCAATATAATGGACACATGGGAGGGACACGCTCTCTCTCTTCCACTGGGCTCCTGGGACTTGCAATTATAAGCCTTTCCTTGATGATAAACTTCTTTCTATATACATATACATTATTTCACTGGTTTTGCTTCTCTAGAAAACCTGGCCTAAGACAGCACTGTGTATATATGTATACATATATGTGTATATGAGGTGCCCTGGTGTGGCTCAGCAGGAAAATACATTGGACCACAAAGTTAGTGTGAACTGCAAGGTTGGCAGTTCAAACCCAGCAGCCACTCCTCAGAAACCCTAAACAGGGTCACTAAGAGTTGGAACCGACAGGACAGCACTTAACAACAATATGTATACACACACATACACACGTATGTATTGTTAAGTGCTGTCGAGTCGGTTCAGACTCATAGTGACCCTGTATAGGGTTTCCAAGGAGCAGTTAGTTGGTGGGCTTGAATCGCTGATCTTGTGGTTTGCAGCCCAGTGCTGATCCTACAGCACCACACCAGAAGTCCTTATATGTACACCTATATGCGTGCGCACACAACACACACATAAGAACCCAGGATCCCTCTCTAATTGTTCACAAGGAACAACTTAGGGGCCCTGTACCCTATCAGACTGTTGAACACCTCCCCTCCTCCATGATTTTGTGTGAGGCCTTCCTCATACCCTCACTCTTCAAGACACTCCTTTCCTCCCTTGCACCATCCTTAACGAGAAAAAAAATCCTCCTTGACATCCCTCAATGTAAAGGAGTCGATACCACCTCCCAATTCCCACAGGAGGCATTTGGAAATGTATAGATAGTTTTGGTTATCACATGATTTGAGGGCACTCTAGCATAGCGGTTACAAATTGGGCTGCTAATCTCACCATCAGCAGTTTGAAACTACCAGCAGTTCCTCAGGAGAAAGATGAGGCTTTCTGCTCCCATATTTACATTCTCGGAAACACTATACAGGGTCGCTATGAGTCGGAACCGACTCCACAGTACATAACCATCACCATCACCACCATAGAGAGTTAACCATCTTTCAACACAGGAGCAGTCCTGCAGGACAAAGAACTTTACCACAAAAATGCCAAACAGTGGCCCTGATGAGCAATACTGCATAATACTTTATAATGATGTATTGATATGGCTTATACGGCTGTCTTCCTTCTGTCTACTGTGAGCTCCCTAAGGATAAAGGCCAATTGTATTCACAGTTGTAGCCTTAGCACTTAGCACAAAGACTGGCAAACAGCAGACAGCCAAGCAAACCAATATTTGCCAAATGATGAGTGAGTAAGGCAGGTTATTATTGAGCAGTGATAAATGTAAACTCCAAGAGAATGGAACTTTGTTCATTTTGCCTAGCAAAGAATGTTGCTGTTGTTAAGTGTCACTGAGTTGATTCCAACTCAGAGACCCTGTATAGGCTTTCCAAGGAATAGGTGGTGAGTTTGAACCACTGACCTTGCAGTAAGCAGTCCAATACTTATCCTACACTACCATACCAGGACTCCTAGCCCAGAATGGGCACTCAATAAATAACTGCTCAACGAATGGATGCCAGAGTGCACTAGGTAACTCATATCCAGATCCTGTTACTGAGTGCAGCAGACAAGGAAACACATGATCACACAGAGCTCTGTAGGACATGGGGCAGCAGGTGCAAGGATAGAGGGTCAGAGAAAGGGTACCATGGGGGTCCTGTGAGTAAGGAGAATCACGGAAGGCTTGCTTTGAGCATGAAGTGACCATGAAATCCACATGGAATTTCAGAAAAAGGAAAGCGCATAAGCAAGGATACTTATTCATTCACTCATTGTTTAACTGACAGTGACCACCTAAGTGCCGAGCGTTAGGAATACAAAGGTCCAACGATGAGCTATAAGAAGTATAATGGTAAGTTGGAGGAAATCTAGTTAGAAAGGTAGGTTGGAGTTTTTTTAAAAAATTAAGGAACCCTAGTGGTGCTGTGGAAGGAGCTCTGGTAGCGTAGTGGTTACAAGTCGGGCTGCAAACTTTAAGGTCAGCAGTACGAAACTACCAGCAGTTCCGCAGGAAAAAGATGAGGCGTTCTGCTCCCATAAAGATTTACAGCCTCGGAAACCCTATGCAGGGTCACTATGAGTCAGAACCGACTCCAGGGTACTTAACAACAACAACAAGTGGCACTGTGGTGTCCTGGTGTGGCACTGTGGGCTAATGCGTCAGACTGCAAAGTCATTTGAACTGCAAGGTCAGTGGTTCAAGCTCACCAGCTGCTCCTTGGAAACCCTACACAGGTCAGAACTGACTCGATGGCACTAACAACAAGTTGCGCTGTGGGATACGCATTGAGCTGCTAACCTCAAAGTCAGTGATTCAAACCCACCAGCAGTTTTAATCCACAAATAACAGCCCCCAGAGGTTTTTGAGATTTGTAACTCAAGATCAACTTTGGCAGACTTCTCTGGTAAAACTGAGCAAAATTAAGAGAGAGATCAGACTTAAAGTGCTGTCAAGTTGGTTCTGACTCACAGCAACCCTTTAAATGGTTTCTAAGGAGCAGCTGGTGGGTTTGCACCACCAACCTTGTGGTTAGCAGTCCAGTGCTTGTCCTAAAGTGCCACATCAGGACTCCTAGAGGGAGGCAAACTGATGAAAAGATGTTTAAGTCATTCACACAACAGACTTGAACACAGAGACCAGGGCGGGTGAGGAAGAAAGGGCTCTGATGAGTTGCTTTGGTGATGAATTTATAAGACTTGGCAAAAGGATGGTGGTGGTATGACCCCGCATAGGGTTTCCAAGGTGGTAAATCTTTGCAGGAGCAGAAAGCCTCCTATTCCTCCCACGGAGCAGTTGGCAGATTTAAACTGCTGACCTTGAAGTATGCAGAGTCTAATGCGTAACTCACTAGGCTACCTGAACTCCTTAAAGGGATGTGTTGGCATGTGCCATTGAGTCAGTTCTGACTCATAGAGACCCTGCATAGGGTTTCCAAGGAATGTCTGGTGAGTTTGAACTACCAACCTTGTGGTTAACAGTCAGTGCTGATCCTACAGGCCCACACCAGGGCTGTCTAGGATGTACAGGATGTATAGGAAAGGGAAAGTTACAACTCTCACAAAAGTTTGAGGAAATAGGAGGACAGCAAAAGGAAAACTGGAGGAGAATCCGGATTAGGGATGACACTCATGCATTCAGTTTGGAATGCACTGAATTTGTGGTAGCTACATCTGTAGGATATGCACTTGACTGCCAACCACAAGGCAGGTGGTTCAAACCCACCAGCTGCTCCTCAAAAATCCTATACAGGGTTACTATGAGTCAGAACTGACTCTACTATGGGTCAGAACTGATTCAACAGCACTTAACACAACAATAGCACAGTTGATGGAGAAATACAACAGGCACTAGAAACAGTGGTTCTGAAGGTCAAGCACAGGACAGAGATTTGGGACCATCTCAGTAAAAAGGATAATAAATTAACATTTATTTGCTAGTGGTTTTGTGTCAAGTATTGTTCCAAATACTTCATGGGTTTTTCTCACTTCACCTTTACATGATACGTGCTACACAAAAGAAGACAGTGGCTCTGAGTAGGTTGACAATTTCAATCTACATGGAATTTACCCCGTCACATGGTTAAAAAGCAACAGAGGTAAGAGTCAAACTTAGGTCTGCCCAATACCAGATGCAAAACACTTATCTCTTAAGTTAGCTCACTGGAATATTAAAAAATATCACTCAAGTCCTAGTTGTTAGTCAAAATGGCCAAAGAGAAACGCAAATTTAAAGCAAATGTTTTTACTTGGCTATCTGGCACTAATTTTTATTGGCTCTGTCATCAAAATAATTCCTATACCTCTTTTCCAAGATTCAAACTGTCGAGATTCCCTAAAATGCAGGTCTTATGCCAAGAATCTACTGTGCATGACACTGAGCAGGCACCAAATAAAAATTTAAAAAGACAGTGAATATATGTCTCAGCATCATCTCTTGGCTGTGTTTGCAATGGCTATCCAAGCTACAAGTGGTCTCTAGTCATCTGGAGCAACAGAGGAAGCAGAGTCAGGAACAGGAGGAGGAAATGGAATGTGTGGATAACCGTCTCCCATGAACAACTGCCTCCTTTGTCAGGAGACCAGAAGTGGTGCTATGATTACATTTGGATCTGTAGGAGAATCCTGATCAAAAAGGAGGAAAATGTAGAAAAAGAATTTAATTCTCCTGGAATCCAGAGTGTCAAGAGCCAATGAGGCTGACTGAACAAATGCCCAAGACTACAGCCCTGAAAGATCTTTATCCCTGAAACCATAAACCAAAAATATCCTCTGAACTGCCTTTAAACCAAACAGTTGTTGTTGTTATTATGTGCCATGGAGTCAGTTCCGACTCATAGCGACCCTGTACAGGGTTTCCAAGGCTGCAAATCTTTACGGGAGCAGAAAGCCTCATCTTTCTCCTGTGGAACAGCTGGTAGTTTCAAACTGCTGACCCTGAGGTTAGCAGCCCGATTCATAACCACTACAGTTGTTGTTGTTGTTATGTGCCATCGAGTCGGTTCTGACCCATAGCGACCCTGTATAGGGTTTCCGAGGGTGTAAATCTTTATGGGAGTAGAAAGCCTCATCTTTCTCCCGCGGAGCAGCTGGTAGTTTCGAACCGCTGACCTTAAGGTTCGCAGCCCGACTCGTAACCACTACGCTACCAGAGCTCCTTAACCACTACAGTAGTCTAGCTTAATTAGTAAAGAATGTCCACTGTGAACTTTGTGCTCTTTTGAAAATTGTAGTCCATTGGAAGAAATTGTTAACATAAATTCAAAACATTTATGTTACTAGGGGAGGCAAAAGTCAACAAGGAGAGTAAGAATGGTTGTACAATTGGAAGAACATAATTAACGTCACTGTAGTGTACTCATAGAAATTGTTAAATTGGTGCATGTTTTGCTGTGTATTTTCAACAACAATAAATGAAAAGAAATATATAAAAACCTCTTGGACAGATTGTGAAGTATTTAACTTCTGTGCTATTATCTTCTTTGGGGTACATCTTCTTGTCAAATTTCTTCACTTCTTTAAAATAGTTATTCTGAGTTCTGCTCATTAAAGGACTGTGCCTGACTGCCATCTATACCTATTCCATTCATACCTAACATTACTCAGATTTTTGTGAAATTCTCCAGGACAAAACCAGAAACAAGCACTGTACCATAGAGCTAAATAAACTTGGGAAAAATAAACACCAACTATAAACACAAAAGAATATGCCAGTTTTAGTCCGGGAGGACTACTAATAACTGACCCTCTCATCTCTATTTAAAGTGTTGAAGAGCAAAGATGTCAGCTTGAGGACTAAGGTGCACCTGACCCAAGCCATGGTATTTTCAATAACCTCATATGCATGTGAAAGTTGGACAGTAAATAAGGAAGACCATAGAAGAATTGATGCTTTTGAGTTACAGTGTTGGAGGAGAATATTGAAAGTGCCATGGACTGCCAAAAGAACCAATAGATCTGTTTTGGAAGAAGTGCAGCCAGAGTGCTCCTTAGAGACCAAGATGGCCAAACTTCGTCTCTCATACTTTGGACATATTGTCAGGAGGGAACAGTCGCTAGAGAAGGATATCATGCTTGGTAAGGTGGAGGGTCAGAGAAAAAGAGGAAGACCCCCAACGAGATGGATTGGCCAGGTGGCAGCACTGATGGACTCAAGTGTGGCAAGAGTAGTGAGGTTGGCCCAGGATTGGACATTGTTTTGTTCTGCTGTGCACAGGGTCGCTATGAGTCGGTGCCGACTCGATGGCACCTGACAACAACAACATCTCTATTATGGAGTGCTGGTGTGATGCTGTAGGATAAGCACTGGAATGCAAGGTGAGTTTGAACCTCAAGGGGGCAGTTCAAACTCACCAGCCACGCCTCAGAAACCCTATACAGGGTCACTTTGCATGAGAGCCGACTCAACAGCACTTAACAACAACATCTATATTACATGAACTTTCCATTTTGTTTTAGAAGTGGTCTCTGGATGGATAAGAAGCTTTTTCCTTCAGTGAAAATACACACCTGGCACATTTGCATCTTCACTTCCATGGATGTCTTCCCAACCCAGCTAACATGGCCACTGAACTTGATGTCCTGTTCTGGGCTTATGTTCTTCTTACACATATCTGCAAAACAGAAAATAAAAACCTCAAGGACACAATTAGTCCAAAGGACTAATGGATTGATTGAACCACAGCCTTGATTAGCCTGAGGCCAGAAGAAATAGGTGTTGCCTAGCTACCACGGTCACTCTGATCAGGACCACAGAATGACCTGGACAGAATGGGAGAAAAATGCAGAACAAAATTCAAAATCATGAAAAAGAAGATCAGACTTACTAGTCTGATAGAGACTGGTGAAACCCCCCAGACTATGGTCCTTAGACACCCTTCAAACCTTAAACTAAACCCACCCCACAGATCACCTGTCAATCAAATGATAGGCCTGGAAAGTGAACAAAAACACTGACGAGAAAATTGCTCCTCAGAACCACCAAGGAAATGAGACCAAAAGGGCAGCATTTGCCCAAAAACAAAGCTCAGAAGGCTGGAAGGGACAGAAAAAAGGGCAAATGGAAATGGGGAACGCAGGAGGAAGTGGGAAGAGTGCAACTAACTAGAGGGGGCTGCAACTAAAGTCACGTAACAAACAAAATGTGTGTGAAAATTATTGAATAGGAAACTAATTTGCTCTGTAAACTTTCACCCAAACCACAGTAAAATATTAAAAAAACAAAACTAAACTAAATACAGAAAACCAGTATGTGCCCAAGTTATACTATATATGGAGTTTCACTTGAAATTTTGGCAAATTCCACTACGTATCTTTCTTATCTTCAAAACTAATTTGTTTGACATGAAATACTTTTCTTAATGTAAAACATATATGACATACAAAATCCTCTACCTTAACATAATTATAATAAATATTTTTATATATGGCAATCCAAACATTTTCATACACATGTATACCATATGGAAATTCCCCACAAAAGAATATTTTGCCTAATCTCAAGAATATTTTCTACTTACCAAGTATTCTAAGGAAGATATAGAAAATGATATTGCTTACCAATCTTGTCCACCAAGGCTGTAACTATTGATAAAGGAGATGTCTGAGCTGCCTGAACTTTGCAATGCTTGTAGCAAATAAGAACTATAGAAAAATAGGAGAATTCTCAATTAGACGAAATGTAAAATTACCTCAACATTTACAATTCACTCCAAGACCCATAAAAAGTCATATATTTTGAAGACTCAATTCCCCACACATTCCACCAGTAATTTTTCATTCTGTGATCAAAGGCTTATAAACTTAAGAGATCTGAAGATCCTTTAATCTAACTGCTGTCCTAATTTTAGACATGAGGAAACTAAATCAAAACCCAAAACCAGGACCACCAAGTGGCTTCTCACTTCGCCACCCAGAAGTGCCAACATCAGAATAAGAATCTGGCACTTGAGTCCCACAGTGTCAAATACACATCTTCAGAACAGAGAAGTCACAAAAATTCAGCTACCTATTTTCTTCCCAATGAAACAATTATTTTGCTCAGTTATCTCACCACACCCCTATAACATTCTCAGTTTCAAACCACCCTGTGGTTATCTACACCTGCCATAGTTAAACAAGCATTTCAATCTGCCAAGGATGGCACATAAACACCTTCTAAACAGCAACTCAGTTACAGTTGTCTTGTAATTCTGTGTTTGCCTCCCTGTTTCCCCCATGAATCATTCAGATTTGTACCACCAACCCTCAAGACAGGTCTGTATTCAATAGATGTTTGCTGAGTGACAATAAATCCTTTCTTCCATGCATCTGCTAGAGGACATACTACAGGATTGGGAAATTCAAGGCAAAAAAACCCAGATTAAAAGCCTTTGCAGGTGCACGTGCCCTTTTCCTCTCCCTCCTCCACCACTGCCGCCTCCTTCTTCTGCAGCTCCTGATGCTG